GCCTAACAATCACATCACATAGCCTTCCAGATAGGGGCAGACAGCTTTCTGGCGTTAGTGACCTGGGATACAAGGGAACTTAGATGAGGGCCAGATTGCTGCTTCCAACTACCACCACAATCTAGACAACCCCCTAGGCTGTGTGCTATCTTAAAGCAAGCACAGCTTTGTCAGGAAGTAAGTGAACAACACAAATCAACCACAAGATGGTGCTAGCACCACAATGCAACACCAGAGATGCCGAGCACTCAACAGACCTTGAATCTCATTCTGATTCACTACACGTTATTCTGTTCTTTTCTGTTTACTTACACTTAGCCTAACAGATTATTCATATTTGTAACTTAAACAACTTCAAAGGTGTTTATTTATTTGTGTTTTATTAAAATACAATCTTAAATTTGAGGGGAGGAAAAACCCCAACAACCTCGGCTCAGTATTTTTCTCCTTTCACTGGTTCATTTTCTTTAAATATTCTGACACTATGGTCTTTGTGGGCTAACTTTATGTGCTTCTCTCTCCCAGGGACTGAACCACTATCATTTGCTAACCCTGAACCAACTATCACATGTGCGTTTGTTTTTCAAATTCTAGTGAAGGCTGTGCCAACACTGAAAACATGAGTTAGAAGAGCAACAGAATACATGAGTATTTCCAGCTTCGCTGGAGTTCCCCTCTGAGTTCCATACAAGAGTTCCAATTGCACAAGAGAACCAACATTGTGATGACTCCAATTCCGACTGTATTTGGGAACTAAGGACAGAGTTTACCACACAGTAGGACTAAAGAAGACTTACTGAAGAAACCCGGTAGTCCACCTCCGCCTCCTTGGTTATATGGTATTGTATGTTGAAGCCCACACTCCACATCCATGACATGAACAACATGCTAGAGAAGCATGCAAACTGTCAGTCATACACACTGGCAGTGGTATAGGAGCAGAAAGACAAGACAGAGCATGTTCTCACGCGCTGTGGAAACACTAGTAATCACGAAACAGGGAAGGCGACGGGGAGGCAAAGAGAAATGAAGAGGGACTATCTATGGACAAGAAGAGTGTTGCGAGGGAGTAGGAGACACAGACGGAGTAGACGGACTTACCCTACACAGAGAGCATGTGCACATATGGAAATGCCATGGTGAATGCTACTGATATGTGAAATTCATACGCATTAATTAGAAAATATTTTAATCTTAAAAAAAAAAAAAGGACTGGTTAGGGGCTCAGTGGTTAAGAGCACTGGCTGCTCTTCCAGAGGACCCAGGTTCCCAGAACCCTCATGGCAGCTCAGTTACACGTCTGTAACTCCAGTTCTAGGGTATCCCATGTCCTCTTCTTCCTCTGCTGGCCCCTGACATGGATGTGGTGTGCAGACATACATAAAGGCAAAATACTGTGCACATTATTTAAAAATGTTTCAATGCCAAGCATGGTAGAGCACACCTTTAATCCTAGCATTTGGAGGCAGAGGCAGGGGTATATCTGTGCAGTCATGGATAGCCTGGTCTACATAGTAAGTTCCAGGTGAGGTACATAGCAAGACCAACCCATTCGTGTGTGTGTGTG